TTTTTTTGGTTTTTCGAGACAGGGTTTCTCTGTGTAGCCCTGGCTGTCCTGGAAGTCACTCTGTAGACCAGGCTGGCCTCGAACTCAGAAATCCGCCTGCCTCTGCCTCCCAAGTGCTGAGATTAAAGGTGTGCGCCACCACTCCCGGCTAAATATTTTCTTAATACAGATAAATTTTGTACTGAAGTCAAGGACAAGGATTCCTGTGTTGTGTCTGTCTGCCCTAGAGACAAATACTAGAAAGAAGAGTTACATGCTTGTGTACAGTTGAGGAAGCGTTTCTTCACAAATTGCCTCTTTCTTGATGCCGGAGATTGATACTGAGAATGTAGGAGAGAATACAGCAGAATCATATGTAACACCTGTTACCAGAGTAACGGGTGACACAGCAAAATTTCCTTTGGTTGGGAGTACCTGCAAGGGGGAATTTTTTTCAATTACAAAATAGCTGTGTCTAAACTGCCAATAAAACTCATGGAGATTACATGGGTTTTAACTCTAAAATAGTGTCATATCACCAATCAGATTTGCAATAAACTGTTCAGATTAAGGCTAGTCTGCTTTGTATTTAGCGTGTGTAGGGGAGAGGTCAACATCGGGTGTTTTCCTCAATTGCTCTCCAATGCCAAACCTAACAACCCAACGTTTTTTGAGCCAGGGTCTTTCTGTATTTAAGGCTTACCCATTCACCTAAACTGGCTGACCAGCAAGGCTCAGAGATCCTTCTGTCCTGTGTTCCTAGCTATCGGTTTATAATCACGAACCACCACACTTGACCTTTTACATGGCTTGTGGGTAGCTAAATTCAGGTTCTAATGCTTTCTGGGTAAGTACATACTGAGCCAGCTACCTACCATGCAAGTCCCTAGTTTTCTCACTGTGATTTTTTTACAGCCTTCTGGTTGTAGAATTTGTAGTGAACCTAATTTTTAAAAGATTAAAATTAGAGGCCAGGTATGCTGGAACATACCCTTAATTCCTGCACTTGGAAGGCAGAGGCAAGTAGATCATTGTGAATTCAAGACCAGCCTGGATCATATAGCCAGGCCAGCTAGGGTTATATAATCAGATACTGTCTCAAAATAAACAAACAAATACATACATAAATAAAATAATCAGTTCTTTCATACCTAGTTTGTAACGTGCACATGATATGAGTTTCAAAGTACCTGTACCAGAGTTGGTTTAAAAAGTAGATTTATTATTTTATGTGTATGTGTTTTTCCTGCATGTATATATGTGTGTACCATATATGTGCTTGGTGCCTGTGGAGTTCAGAAGAGGGCATTGGTTCCCTTGGGTTAGAGGTGTTTGTGAACCGACACATGGGTGCTAGGAATCACATCCAGGTCCTCTGCAAGAGCAAAAGTGCTCCTAACCCAATGAGCTAACTCTCCAGCCCTATAAGATTTTTGTTTGTTTGTTGAAAATAAATGTTCTGGATTCTCAAACATTAGTGATGGCTAGCAGTCTTTCTTGTTCGGATATGCACAAAGAAAACTTGCTGGTGTTATTCCATGTTTAAGAAAATGTGTATATGAAAGTCTTGTTTTTGAGAACTCTGTGATCTCAGCTATTTCTGCTCTTATCACTTGTTCTGTTATCAGGTCTCTGTTGTAGATTATGTCTAAGTTTGGGGAGATGGCTCAGCAGTTAGGAGCAGCAGCTGCTATTTCAGAGGATCTGGGGTCAATTCCCAGCACTCACATGGCAGCTCATAGCTGTCTGTAACTCTAATCCCTGGAGGTATATAATACCTTCTTCTGGCCTCTGTGGGCACCAGATACATGGTATACATCCCATGCAGGCAAAACATAAAAATAATAATACACATAAAATAAAATTGAAAAATATTATCTCTAAGTCTATATCATGGTTGTAGAAGTTTGTGATATCTGTATGATGATGACAAACATTGCTAATAAATTGTGTCCTTCTGTTATTCTCTAATTGTTTATTATTTACTTATTGTACAAGTCTTAGTCCTCTATCAGAGGTCTGAGGAAAACTTTTATAATTGGTTATTTTACTTCCATCATATGGGTCCTGGAGATTGAACTTGGGTTGTTAGGTTTGGCATTGAGCACTTTCTCTTCTTGATAGCCATGCTGCTAGTCCCAGATCAGTAAAATTTCAAAAGTTTTGGAGATATAATAGAGTTACTAAACTTATATTCTGGCTTAGAATTGACAGACTTATTTAATAGTTCATAAAATTTAATCTCTCAAAAACATCCCAGCATCAAAGGAAACACTGGATCTATGTATCCTTGTAGAGCATTTGTTTTGAATAGTTTTGTCAGTCTTGAAATTATCAACAGAAATTGGACACAGCCCCATATTATTTGGGAACCACTGGTGTATATTATCTTCCTTTGTGATACCTCTTCCAATACCAATTATTACATTATATCTTTAAAAAATAAACTGAAAAACAAATAATCTGGAGCTACTGCAGATTACTTTAGATTTACTTTCTGCATTAGATACTAATAGTAAGCTTTCTAACATATGCCCTAATGTTCTTCTGTTTGTTTTTAGCATGCATGCTTTATACAATCCATAATACATATGATGACATTGAAAATAAAGCAGTTGCGGATCTAGGATGTGGTTGTGGAGTGCTTAGCATCGGAGCTGCGATGTTAGGAGCAGGGTAAGCCATCGTGTTTTTACTCTTTGGATGTGGTGTGGCTTTAGTCCGTGTATATATAGGATCAACTGCACTCTAGTCATGGGATCTGCAGGTAGGGTGAGGGGGAACAATAATTTGATACTGAGTACATTTGCAATAGGCTGAAGACCGAAAACTTTACATATAAGAAAGAAATCAAATTTTTGGTAATAGCAATTATCTTCTTATACCTGCCAGGCTAGAAAAGTCATGCAACTGAAAACATCATTCTGCCGGGCAGTGGTGGCCCCTGTCTCGAAAAACAAAAACAAACAAACAAACAAAAAAAAATCATTCAATCTTACTTTGTTAATTAGGTTGAAAAATGCATGGTAAAATAACTACTATTGTTTTTTACTGGGAACCTGTAAGTTCTCTTTTTTATTTTATATTTATAGGTTGTGTATTGGATTTGACATAGATGAAGATGCACTGGAAATATTTAATAAGAATGTGGAGGAGTTTGAGTTAACAAATGTTGATATGATTCAGTGTGATGTGTACTCATTATCTAACAGAATGTCCAAGTTATTTGATACAGTAATTATGAATCCTCCTTTTGGGACCAAAAATAATAAAGGTTAGTAATAAAAGTACAAAAGATTAGTCTATTTATAGAGCAGTGATCTGGGTTGTCATTTTATTGCAACTGTTTATTAAATCAGTCATCTTATACCTATTATAATTCTTATGTGACATTTGATTAGGGTATTTACAGTAACTTGTATTTTGCAGATTTGTGTCAATATACACTATCATTTCTGATTAATAATTGTATTTGATTGGCCTCTATGCTTATGAAACTTTTAAAGCATTTTATTCTTTTAGAGCCTGGATTTTTTCCTTTGGTTTTTTCATTGGGGGATCCCCGGGGGCTGAAATGGGGATCTCACACACACTGAGCACATGCTCTCTGCCACTAAGCTGGATACGCTCAGCTTCTGAAACTTGTTATTAATGCCTTCGGCTTTCAAAATATGCTCATAGGGATTTACTGTGATTATTTTTGTATGTCCAATGGGCAGGGTAGGAAGAAAAGGAGAACACCAGTTTTCAGCCTACCCCCACACCACAAAGCTTATTTTGACTATTTTACATTCTCTACTCTTTCCTAAGTCACTTAGAATATTAAAATTAGCCCTGTTTTTTTAATCAAACAGTCTAATTTGGTTTCATCAGATTTTTTAAAAGATTTGTTTGAGACAGATCTCACTATGTAGCTCTCGCTTCCCTCGAACTGTACAGACCTGGCTAGCTTCAAACTAAGAAATCCTCCTGCCTCCATCTTCTGAGTGCTGAAATTATAGATGTGTGCTACCACACCCAGCTTAATATTTAATTTTGTGTATAGGTGTTTTTCCTACATGTCTTTGTATCACATATATGCAGTACCGAGGCAAGGACATTGGATCCTTCAAACTAGAATTAGTTGTGAGCCACAGTGTAGTTGCTGGGAATCAAGCTTAGGTTGTTCTCTAGCAGAGCAGCCAGTGCATTTAAGCATCAAGTCATCTTTGCAGCCTATGGTGGTGTTTAAAATTTTTTATATTTATCTATGAGAGTTTAGCCTACGTTTGTAACTTTGTGGGTGCCTGAGGAAGTCAAGTGTCAGAAATACCTGGAAGCTGGGATCTGGAATTAATGGATGGTTGAGAGCTACCATGTGAGTGCTGGAACCACACTCAAGTCTTCTGGAAGAGCAAAAAGTATCCCAGCTCCAGACATTGTTTTATCAGAATATTTAATTTTGTACCTTTATTTTTGTTCTTTCTTTTTAGACAAGGTTTCTTTGTATAGCTCTGGCTGTCTTACTGTTAGCTCACTTCATAGACCAGGGGGGCTCTGAACTCAAGATCGTCCTGACTTTGCCTCCTGTGTGCCATCACCTTTGTACCTGGCTTACTTGTACTCTTTCTGAATAATTTGAAGTAGAAATTTTGGAGTTTGGAAAAATGCAACTTAATTCTATTCATTTAGTCTTCTCTGCTAAGAAATACATAATATAAATAGGTATCTTCTTTTTCACTCTTCACAGGGACAGATATGGCTTTTCTGAAGACTGCTTTGGGAATAGCAAGAACAGCAGTATATTCTTTACACAAGTCCTCAACTAGAGAAGTAAGCTCATAATATTATTTTAGGTGGTCCACACCTTTAATCCCAGCACTCGGGAGGCAGAGGCAGGTGGATATCTGAGTTCGAGACCAGCCTGGTCTATGAAATGAGTTCCAGGACAGCCAAGGCTACACAGAAAAACCCTATCTGAGAAAACAACAAACAATAGTTATTTTTATTATTTTATTTACTGATTTTCATGTATGTGATTTTCATGTATATGTGTGAGCATATATGTCAGCATACATGTGAGCATACATGTCAGTTCTCTTCACAATGATGATCTCAAAGACCAAACTGAGATCCACTATCAAGCTAGGTAGCAAGTGACCTTTACCCACTGAGCCATTGCACTCATCTGAGAGTTAATTTTTAAGAAAAACACAGCTTAAAGCAAAATAGGTCTGAGTTTAGAAACCACCTATTCTTGGCTGGTGAGATGGCTTAGTGGGCAAGGGACTGGGTTGCTGGCAAGCAAGACTACCTGAATCAGATCTCTAGAACCCACATGTATGCTGTGGAATACATCACACAAATATATTAATGTTATAAAAAGAAAAAAACTATTCTTTCAAGCTCATATAATACCATATACAAGATGTATTTCAGGACAGTGACGAGTTAATATTTGAATGCTACTATAGCATGACTCTAGACCCAGACTGTCCTGAATTAGCACATAAGCTCTGCTACATCCTAGCTATTACCCTGCTTAAAATACCTGGGTTTCAGTACCATCTATACTATATGACCCTGTGTTCTTAGGAACTTAGAATAGGCTATTCCTCATAACTTTTCTGGATTAAATGAGTATTTATGAAACATCTAGGTCTGTGCCTGGCATATTTGATAGTTGTTATCTATTATTCTTACCTGAAATTATATATCTAAAGATTTGGTTTTGTTAATCTTATATGTATGAGGAATGTTTTGCCTGTATGTCTGTATTCAACATGTGTGCCTGTTGCCCAAGGAGAACAGAAGAGGGCATCATCCCGCAGGATTTATAGATAATTGTGATCTGTCAAAGGGGCTAGATTTTTTTTAATTTATGTACATATTTAATGTGTGAGTGTTCTGCTGCATGTACACTCAAATGCCAGAAGAGGGCATCAAATCCATATTGAACTCATGACCTCTGTAAGAGCAGCTAGAGTTGTACATGGTTGAACCATCTCAACAGCCTGTGCTGAGAATTTAACCAGGTCCTCTGAAGAACAACAAGTGCTCTTAACTGCTAAGCCACCATTACACAGTCCACCCTCCTTGTTTTCACCTACCCTTGTCTCAGAAAAGACAGCAAAAGAGAAAGACACCAAATATCAACCCAATCTCTACATGCCATGTACATACATGTACACAGCAAAACGAAAAACAAAGTGCAGGTCAAAGGAATATATTTTAGGTACGTTAATAGCCCCTTTAAAAGTATAAAATTGCTTAATACATGCCTGTAATCCCAGCACTTGGGAGGATAATACAGGAGGATGGTAGATTTAATATATCAGTTACAAAGGATGTTCAAGGCCAAAGCCTTGCATGCACCAGGCTACCTCACAAAGCCCAAATACTAGCATAAACCAGATGTGGTGGTTAATTCCAGTGTTCAGGAAGTAAAGGCAGGAGTATCAGAAGCTCAGGGTCCTCTGCTTCATAAGGAGTTTCAAGGCAGTCTGAGATACATGATACCCTGTCTCATGATGGCTCACAGCTGTCCTGTCACTCACTCCAGTCCCACGAAATGCAGTGCCCCCTTCTGGCCTCTGAGGGCACCAGGCACACATTACACAAAGACAAATCTTAAAAATAAATACAATTTACTTACTTCTATCTTTGTTGATTGATACCGCCAATTACATCCCCCCCTGGGGGGAGGCAAAATTATCAGCATCATTTTGTCAGATTTCAGTGTTTTTCACTTAGTGTAAAATTATTTCCATTAGCAAAGTAATTTATGTAATTAATCTGGTGAGTACTATGTATACTGAAAATAATGAGTTTTCCTCAAATATTAAGACAGTCCTTTATTGTATGTTATAGATCTACCTGCTGTAAAGCTTCTAAGTTCCCTTTAGTATTACTTAGAACATATATTGTTCCTGGCTTACCCTAGGTTCTGGAACTACAGACCACTGTGATGAAGTACTTGACTTGCACAGTATAGATAAATTCAATGTAATTGTTTGATAAAAACAAGTTTTAAAGTTTCCTGACAGATGCTGACATAGCATTTAGGTGACTTAGCATTTAATTTTTTTTACCTCATGCAGCATGGGGAGAATCTGCTTCTTTGTTCATAGATGTAACAGGGTAGAATAGGTAAGCCTGAATCTGTTCTTTTGTTTATCCCACTTACCTGGTCATTCCTTTACATCTCTAATAGCATATAATATATACTATATGCTATTAGAGAATCTCACCAGTCTTAGCACTCAACGAATGTCACAACCTATTTCTCACAAATCCGTTAAGAGTCCTAAAACTTCATAAATTATAAAGCATCATTTGTACTAAAAGTCTATATCCTACAGAAATTCTACATTCTTTTTGTGATTTTAAAGATTTATTTTGTGTATGAGTACACTGTTACTGTCTTCAGATGTACCAGAAGAGGGCACTGGATCCCATTAGAAATGGTTGTAAGCCACCATGTTGTTGCTGGGAATTGAAATGAGGACGTCTGGAAGTGCTCTTAACCACTGAGCCACCTCTCCAGTGTGTGTGTATTTGTGTGTGTGTGTCTCTGTATATGTGTCAAAATGGGAAAATGTGTCAATAGGCAAAAAATTGTAGGATCTGAAATATTTGAGCCTAAGATATTAGGGAAATTATTTTATCAATTTGATGACAATTAAAGATGATTCCCAATATGGCCAACATGTAATAACAGATTTCGATCTCTCAGCATTCTGGAGTACTATACATACATACATACATACATACATACATACATACATACATACATAATTTAATGTTGGTGCTATGCAGAAACACTGTTCAGAATGTTCAAGAGATGAGGAAAATGAGGTAATTAGGTGCTAAGTAGTAGGTCTGCAGTTCCAAAGGCCATGGTTCCAGACCATGCTCTTCTCTGTAAAGAAGAGCATGAATATAAACAATATAAACAACCACAATTTTCTGTTGACATTAGATCTCTGCCAAATTCTCCCAGGATAACTGTTATTCACTACTGATTTTGCAGGTTTTGATGGATTTTTCAGTTTTTAATTACATTTAATTCTATTAACAAACACTGTAGTCACTTTGTTTCTGGCTTTTAAAAGTGTGGATATAATTAAAATTTATATTATCTAGTTTGTATTGAAATTTTAATCTCAAATATTAGCAGGTCAGCTTTAAAATCATCTAAACATCAGCTCATATAAAAATATTATTTGTCTTTAGCATATTCAAAAGAAAGCTGCCGAATGGAAAGTCAAGATAGAAATTATTGCAGGTAAGCTAAATCTCAACCCGAAAATTACTTAAAAGGCCAATATGCCAGCCTACATTTTTGAAGTACTGAAAAAAAATAGTTTATCAGGTTTGGTAGTTGGTTGGAAATGCAGTAAACACGGGATAAACATTTACTGAGGTTTGCCTGCATCTATCCCTACTTATGCATTTTCTTTTTGGGGGGTTGGGGGGTAGGGAGAGAGACAGGGTTTCTCTGAGTACCAGCCTCGGCTGTCTTGGAAGCCACTTTGTAGACCAGGCTGGCCTCAAACTGACATCTGCCTCTGCCTCCCAGTACTAGGATTGAAGGTGTGTGCCACTCTCCTCCCCTGCATTTTCTTTAAAAAAACAAAAAAAGTAATGGTGGGGCTAGTGAGCTAGTTCAGTGGTTAAGACCACTGGCTGCTCTTGCAGAGGTCCTGAGTTCAATACACATGGTAGGTAGCTCATGACCATCTGGTGCCCTCTTCTGGCTGTAAGTGCACATGCAGACAGAGCACGCATACATTCAAAATAACAACAACAAAATTGTAGCAATACCTAGGTAATTGGTCATTCCAGGCTTACAGAATACTATTCCCAGTAAGTAAAAACATAGTAGAACTGGTGTGAAACTATTTGAAAACACCACCAATTTATGCCTGATATACAGAGCTGAAGAACACCAGCCTTTTTCTTTTTTGATGAGAGACAAGAATATAAACAACCACACTGTAATTACAGAAATGCCTTTTTTTTCTTTTTACTAAATTTGCCAGCATCACAACTGGAAAAATATTAGAAGGTAGAGATCACCCGGTAATTCTGAGAAGCTTGAAATAAACAGTACAATAAAGACTGGAGCTATGGTAGTATGCTTAGTATGCATAACACCTTGGGATCAGTCTCCACTATGAGAGATACGGAAAAAAATGTGCAGTGAATGGCATTTTTTGTTTGTTTTGAGGTATGGTCTCCCTGTGTAGCTCTGGTTATCCTTGAATTCACTATGTACCAAGCCTTGAACTCAAGATCTTGCCTGCCTTTGCTTCCCGAATCCTGGGATTCAAGGCCCCACACTGCCATTTTATTTTTTTACATTTGGCATTCCACAAGTAGTCAGACCATGAGCTTTAACTGGAGTGTAAAGAGAATAATAGGTTCCATTCAGACCCACTGAATTAGTCTGCAGCTCAACAACATTGCCAGAGAACTTGATCACACATTATAATGAGAAAGTTATCCCCTATAGGGTTAGAATTGTGTTGGAAGGTATGAAAGACAGTAAGAAGTATAGAGAATTTGTTATAAATTTGGAAGGAATGTGGGAAAAAAAGGGCTTTCATTTTGATAGTGGAGAACTACCATTAAATTTTGAAATAAACATGGATGTATTATAATCAGCTATAGATACATATATTTTCATATAGCTTATTTTTTTCCCTACTTGTTAATCCTTCTAACTATTCTCCATAACTTCAAATTTTGGTGATCAAATGATCAAAACATCAGAAACACCATGTCCAATTAGACAAATCAGTATTTGAGGATATGTCCAAAGTGAGGAATATAAAATGTTATGCATACCAGCATTTAATATCTTAATGTGAATGTTTGGCTTGTTTTACAGAGCTTCGATATGACCTACCAGCATTATACAACTTTCATAAAAAGAAATCTGTAAGTTTCCCAATTGTGTATTCAAAATTCAGTATTCAAAAGCTCTGCAATGGTCATTTCCACTCTTATCAAGATATATGGTTAAACAGAAAGCCAGCCTGAGAGATTAGACAAATTAACTGTGAAAAAGGCTTATTCTCACAGGAGTCAAAATTTTAGTTGAAATTTTTTGTGAAAAGTTTTAAGAGAAACAAAAGGAAGAAAGAACTATTGGCTATTTTTATACAGTATATATTTTACAAGTCTGTACTAATACATTCTCATATTACAAAGGCAATTAAGAGGAAGAATCTTCCTTCTCATATTTTAATCATCCAAACACAAACAGAACTATACATTTAAAAAAAAAAAAACTTTCATTTGGGTAACAACAAAAAGAAGACAAGTAAAACAAAAAAATTTTTCTTTTATACAGGTGGACATTGAAGTGGACCTAATTCGCTTTTCTTTTTAAAAGCTTCTGAAGACAAAAAGCAGCTTAAAATCTAACTAAGGAATAAAAACACTGCTTACTAAATAAACTACTTGTCTCTAGCACCATTCTCTCTTTTCTTATGCTTTGATGCCGGTTCTTCTCTGTCTCTTCCATCTCTTCCTCTTTTCATTGGTCCTATTACAACAAATAATTTTGTTAAATTCAGAGTAAGCACTGTTCTATTAATTATTACAAGTAAAAATAAAGCTTCCTTTAAAAATCAAAAACTAGCAGCTTCCCTTCAAGGAGAAAAGGCTTTCCTTCAGTATTCTTTCCTTTGATCTCTAAAGTTATCTTTCTTTTTTTTTTTTTTTTTGGTTTTTCAAGACAGAGTTTCTCTGTGCAGTCCTGGCTGTCCTGGCACTCACTCTGTAGACCAGGCTGGCCTTGAACTCAGAAATCCGCCTGCCTCTGCCTCCCAAGTGCTGGGATTAAAGGCATGCAACACTAAAGTTATCTTTCAACCAGCCTTTCACTTGTAAAACACCACAAACAAGGAAGATGTTACTAATTCAAGAATATCACTTACACAGAAAAATACTATCTTACTAGATATAGATTTCTCTCCCAAAGGAATTAGAAAAGACTTACCACGACGATGATCATCATCAAATCTTGTCCTCCTTCCCTGAAACTGTCCTCTTCCTTTGGGTGCCCCAGCATAGCCAGGTCTATTTCCCTTTCCTTTAAATCTGCGGGCTGCTGTAAAAACATGACTTCCTTTAAATCTGCCGGCTGCTGTAAAAACATGACTTAGGACTTTAATAACTGTAAATCTGCTGAAAATCAAAGATGTAAAGATGAAGTAAAAAAAAACAAAAAATGAGAATTACCATGACCTCCTTTTGACTTCCATTTGTTTAGGGATTCTTGCTGATCATCTGTGATTTTTTTCATTGCTTCTTTTTCCGCATGTCCTTCTAGTACTTTCCAAGTCACCTTTTTGTTCCTTAACAGTAGGTTACCATTATTTGCATTTCTGGCTTTCTCAAGTGCTTCCTTAGCCTTTTCTTTGAAGAGAATTATTCCCTATACATCAAAGAGAAAAATGAATGTTTTACTCTTTAGTTTGTAGTCTGACAATTTCTTTACTACCCTCCACACACACCTATCATATCTGTTATTTCTATTTTCAATTTTCATGACCTGTGCCTCCTAAAATCTTGTTTCAATGTCAGCATATTACCCATCTGACATGGAAGGAAAAAGACATCACATCCAATAAAAGGACCAAAGACAAAACTAAATGACTAATTAGGAACTATTTTAATCAACATGCTTTATAAACTACCTTCTTACTAAATAGTTTTTAAAACAACTACTTCCTAATCATTTTTTCTTCTAACAGACAACATTCTACAGACTTTTAAAGTAATTGCTAATAAAGACACAAATGTTTCCAAACCTCTTTTGCTCCTCTGACAAAATCAATCCATTTTATTTCACCATGATTTGAGAAAAGGAAGTGTAAATCTTCTCTACAGGTCTGGTCATCCAAGTCACCTGAAAACTTCAGTAAGCATCCCATCTTTCCTTCTAGAGCTCTCTATAAAAATATACAAGGCCATCAAAAGCTTTTCTTAAGTGCAACCTCACCAAAATGGCTCAAATCATTCTATACCTACATAGGAAAAAGAGAAATCAGTGCTGTTTTAATGCAGTTAAACTGTGTGTTCTTGGCTGTCATGTTTTACAAGGGCTTTAGTTTATAGGTGATGGTTTAATATAACTATCTGCTAATAAATAATAATCCTAGATAATAATATTTGTGTATCACTAATGCAACAGACTTACAGAGTCACTCACACACATTCTCTAAGAAGTCCTCACACAGTGCTAGAGACGTAAGTGGTATGGTTGGTATGGGCACCATGAGTACCAGCATACACACTGGACATGATAGTATATGCCTTTCTTAAATCCCAGTAAATGGAAGGCATAATCAGGTGTATTTCTCCAAGTTTGAGGCCTAACTGATCTACATAGCCAATTCTAGGCCAGCTAGATTAATATAGTGAGACCTTATCTCTATATAAATAAAATCTAGGAGGCCAGCAAGATTGGTCAGCAGGTAATGGTAAAGGTGCTTATTTGTCAAGATTGACAACCTAACTGTAATCCCTGGAATATACACGGTGACTTCTGACTTCCACACAATTGCAGTGGCATGCAACTGTGTATACATACAACTAACACACTCACACACTCTCTCTCTCTCTCTCCCTCTCCCTATCCCTCTCCCTCACTTCCAAAAAAATTCTAACCTAAATTATCTCATTTTAGTTATTAATACTTACTGTTTCAGTACTTCCTGGCTTGTGTCTTCCTTCATGTTCTCTAAAAATAAATGTGTTGTGATTATAATGTGTTTATACTACACATTACTACACATTTAACCTTGCACATTATAACCAACCCATTTAATCATGAAAACAAGTCCTTAGTTTTGGGGATTTCTTTTCTTTTCCTTTTTTTTTTTTTTTTTTTTTGGGGTCATACAACATCAGCAAAATGCCCTCCAGCTTTTCAAGGCATCTTGAGGCCAACATTTCAGTTACCAATAAAGACAGACCCATTACCATTCATTTCAAAGCTCATCAGCTTGTCCCAGAATGACTAGTTTGTCAAAACATTAAGAAATTTAAATATGCCACAAAGAAGACAACAGACTTACTGTTTAGCTTTTAATTTAGCTTCCACTTTGCTCTGCTTTCGTTCTTCATTTTTTTTTGCAAAGTAATCTTCCCTGAAGAACACAAAACACAAGCTAAACTCACAAAGACTGAAAACTACTTTTTTCCCCTTGGTTTTCAAGACAACATTTGTGGGAAGTCTTAGCTGTCCTCTAAAACTACCTCTGTAAACCAGGCTGGCCTTGAACTCACAGAGACCTACCCAACCTCTGCCTCCTGGAGTGCTGGGATTAAAGGTATGTGCCACCATCACCCAGAATGTCCTAAGTTTTTTAATTTATGTGTATATCTGTGTGCCACATGCATGTCTGGTACTTGAGACCTAAAGAGGATGTTAGTCTAAAGACTAGAGTTATGGACAACTGAAAGTTGTTATATGGGTGCTAGAAATTGTATCTGAGCCCTTTGGAAAAATAGCCAGTACTCTTATTAACCTCTGCTGCATCTCTACAGCTATCCTCTCTTTTATTTTAGCATACAAGAATGTGGTTCAAGCCTCAAATCTTTATACTACATGTATGTTAAAAACATGTTTACACATACTGAAAAATAAATAAGCATGAGAACCAAACATTTCAGCATTCTAATTACCTCTATTTTGCTTAAATTTTAGATGCAAAATAAATACTAAAACAACTTTTCTCACTAGTCATTAATAATGAAAAGGTATTAACAGGGCTAGAGAGATGGCTCATCATATAAATGACCTGCTGGTAAGCCTGACAACCCAAGTTTGATCCTAATGACCCATACAAGTAGGTAAAACATTTCCTACAGACTGATGTCCTGAGTTCAATCACTGGAATCCATATAAAGTGGAAGGAGAGAACTGGCTACAGAGTTGTCCCCTGACCTCCACATGCACATTAAGGCAGAGGTGCACCTCTATCATACACATACTCAAGGCAATAAAAATAAGTAAGCTTAGAAAGGGTTCTAAAAATCATTTTCATGTCCTCAAAAGACTATTATAATTACCACTGAACAAACACTATTTCAGAGCATACTGAAAATAATGCTCTGAAAATAATACTAAGTATATGGGGGATGCTGTTTACTTTACCCTATTGTATCAATTCCAAATAATTTTGTGGCCCGAGAAACATAAGTGAAAAGACTTACTTAAAGAGTATTAGCAGGTTAGTGTCTTTGTACTTCTGGCCAGGGGTCTCCACAAACTTCTTTGCAGACTGAATACTATCAAACACAGCAAATATTGACCCCTGTAAAGGACAGATAAATTATCTCCTTACAGTGATATTTCATAACTAGAAGTCTATATCAAATAATCATACCTTAAATGTTTTGTGCAATGTTCTTCTCATCTGAATATTCAGTATTTGGCCTTTATCATCTAGCCATTCTTTTATATCATCAAGGGTGGCATCAGTTGGGAAGCCTTTCTGTAAAAAAGTAGAAAAAGAAGTACAAATAATGACTCCTGGGTAAACAACTCTCCCCGGAATAAACTGATTTATTTTGTCTCAAAATGAAGCCAGAGCTAAGTATCTTTCTTTCCTCTTTCTTAATTGTTTAACAACCTTATTCTCTAGTGCAATAAGGTGATTCACCTGAGATTTGCTCCAAAATAACTCAGGTGGAGCAGAGACAAAGCATTATTTAAATGTTAAGAACTTTAGAGGTTTCACAATGGTACCTCACACTATTCAATCTACTTCCTTGTTTTTAAAGCTTTCCATTATGCATTTAGAAATTAATATGCTAATACAAGTACTACAGAATTCAGCTATTAGAGTTTATCGTGTGAACAATGTTAACATTAACAATAATGAGGAATTTAGAAGTACAATGGCAAAAAACATACAGCAATTGGCCAAATGTGATTCCTGAGCATTTTCTTTCTAAATAAAGGTAGTATGCCCACTTACAATATAAACAGATCTGTTTTTTACATCATTCTTGTACTCATCCGTCACTTCAGGGAGTGGTCTGCTTGGTGATCTTCTAATTTTAGTTTTGTCTGCACTCACTTCCATGAGTTTTGCCTTAGATTTGCCCAGTGCTTGCACAATTACATTAAAGTCTGTTGTCAGCCGGTTTAGCCTGAAAAGTACATACATAAAAACATTGTAAAAAGCAGATTTAGTAGTAGCTCTCCACAATAACAAAAAACTTTGATGACTTTTAAAAAGATTTTTGGGTTTATTAGCTCCAAAACTAAGGTAGTTCAATGACAACACATGTACAAGTTCCTGGGTTTGATCCCAAGAAATGGAAACAAATCAACTAAAAAGACTTACCTGTTGAATTTTATCATTGTTTCCAAAGGTACCCAGCCTTCGTCCAGTTTGATCTGTTCTTTTAAAAATTTGTCTCGTGGCAGATTGAAGTCTCCAAAATAATACTGTGAATAATTATAATGTATTTCAGAAGTTAAGAGCATTGTATAACACTCAGTTCAATCATGAATGTTTTGAAAGTGACTTTTTTACACTTTAAAAATATGTTGGAAGATAAAAGACCTAAATATTTTCTCTTAATAGACCATAAAAAAGTATATATAACACAAATCAATAAAGAATACTAAAATGTTAGTGAACAATTACCAGAATAGAAAGTCTCAAAAATATAATTAAGTTAAGAATCTAATATATTAGCCGGGCAGTGGTGGAGCATGCCTTTAATTCCAACACTTGGGAGGCAGAGGCAGGTGGATTTCTGAGTTCAAGGCCAACCTGATCTACAGAGTGAGTTCCAGGACAGCCAGGGCTACACAGAGAAACCCTGTCTTGAAACCACCACCCTCCCCCAAAAAAATTTTTTACAAATTAAGAATAAAGTTTCAGGTGTAAGTGGTCATGCCTGTGATTTCTGCATTTATTTGGGAATCTGAGGCAGAATTTCTCCAAAGTCCTCAAAGTCAAGAGATCCACCTGCCTCTACCTTCCAAGGTCCTGGGATTAAAATCATTACCACCATACCCAGCCATGTTAGATATTATATAAACACATACCACAAACACAAAAAATTCTAATATTACTAATCAAAACCTAAAATGCCTTCAATCTCAGCACTAGCTTGAGCCAACCAATGTAGCTCCTCCTAGGAATTCCATCTTAAAGAAACCAGCAAGAGAGCTAGAGGGATGGCTCAATGCTTGAGAATGCTTGCTGCTCTTCCAGAAACCTGAATTAGGTTCCTAATTCAGTTGGTTCACAAGAGACTGTAACTACAGTTCCAGGGGATCTGACATCTGTGGCCTCTGAGGGCCACATACTCATATGCAGACAGACACACTTTTTTTTTTTTTTTTAAGTGGGTGTAATGGCTCATGCTCTTTAATTCTGGCACATGGGGAGCAGAAGCAAGCTGATCTCTGAGTTTGTTTATTTTCCCCAGGTCAGCCCTGGGATGAATGAGATGAAAAAAAAAAAAAGGAAAAGAAGAGAGAGGGAGGGAAGAAGGGAGGGAAGAGAGAGAGTAAGCAAGTAGTAAGCCTGTGAACTATAAGTTTGTATAAAGAATATCAATCATTTAACTCTTATACCTAAAAAAATTCTATACTTTAGGGAAGATGGATTATTAATATTATTGATAACACAAAACTTTACTCCCTAAAAACTTTATCTCATGTTTGGTGGGAAAAGAGGAAAAAATAAAAATTACATTTATATGCCATTCTTGTTGGGGATGTTTAGGAAAACTCTGTCTCTGGGTAATTTTACTGTGAACTTTATACTCCTCTTAAAAACAAAAAACAAAAACCAAAAAACAGAGCCTCCTTAAAAAAAAAAAAAAAAAACTTTTAGGAGCTGGAGAGATGATGACTCAGAGGTGAAGAGCACTGGATGCTCTTCCAGAGGAACCATATTCAATTCCCAGCACCTTCATGGGGCCTTATAACTATCTGTAACTCCAGACCTAGGAGATCCAATGCACACTTCTGGTTTCTGAGGGCACCAGGCAGGTACATGGTACAGGTACACAGACATACATGTAGGCAGGCATAATATTCATACACATAAAGTACACTAAAAATAAAAATGTATTTTGAATATGGCGTATGAAAGGCTTTTAACCTTGAATATCTCAAGAGGGAGAGATTTGAGGCTGTAGGCTGTGGGAGGAACACTATTCTATAACAGCTTTGCTATTGTTCCAAGCATTAAACAGCAAATAATCTTATCACTGTTTTTGCAATTATTAAGAAAACACATCCCCCTCCCCCCAACAAACCAAAGGGGCCAGAAATGGATCAACAGTTAAAAGAACTAGCTTCTCTTCCAGAGGACCCAGGTTCAATTCTTGGCATCCACATGGAAGCTCACAACTGTCTGTAACTCTAGTTCCAGGGGATCCCACACCCTCACATGGACATACATGCAGACAAAACACCAATGCACATAAAAATAATTAAAAAAAAAAAAAAATCAAGTCGCAAATGCCAACACAGCTCACTGAGTGACTGCCTAGCATGCCTTGAGTTTGATCTCCAGTACTCAGAAGGGAAAATATAAGAGAAAAATAAAAACAGGACAATTTAAATGACAAAGGAGTACAATTTAAAACAAAACCAAAACAGCCAAGAGCTTTACACACACACACACACACACACACACACACACACACACACACACACACGCACGCGCGCGCGTGCACACACACACACAACAATGATTATTTCATAGCATAAAAACAATCTATGGGCAATTTCCCACACAGCCATATTGTTACTGACAACATTCCATCTAAACCTAAATTTGAAATGCTAACAAGACTTTTCAAATGCATAATTTGTTAAAAAGCTATGCTAACTTTTAAAAAGAGAACTAAGTAGATAGAATTAAACTATTATTTGACCAGAAGTACTTTACCATGGAGTTTTATGCTAGCTTGTTAGGCACACCATTCATTTTTCACATCGACTTACAAATATTACCTCCATTTTACAGACTTGAGAACTGAAGTGGAAAATGGTCATGAGACTCTGTGTCTCAAAAATAAAGCAACACCAGTCTGTAGTGTTACCTTTGGAATGTCTGTAATTTTTGAAACTTCTAACTTTGCCCTAATAATATGAATACATTCATATCAACTCCACGAATCAAAGCTAAGCCAGTTGTTTGAAAAAGCCCCCACATATTGACATTAGATGCTCTGTTCATCTTAAAGCCCTCCATTTTCTTTTAAGAAACTTAAGTTACAATTTAATGACACAAGAATCATACCTCAATTTGATGACAGATTTTGGCCTCCAGAGCAGCCATTTTTTCATTGTCTCCATTTTCAGCCATTGTGGCTATCTGTAAAGTTTCTCACACTGATAGGAAGAGGTTATTATTTTTATATAATAGTCAAGACGAGAATGAGTAAAAATTATGCCACTTCTTTTTTAATGTCTCTAATTTCAAGAATTCCTAACCTTACAGGCTGTTTCCCTATGAATTCGTATATATCTCAACAAAGCAACACCTTGGATTATGGATGGAAAACTCACGATTAACAACCTACTCCTCCTTTCAGTAAATCACACACCTACTTTGTAACCAAACTCTTCATGTCGTTGGTAAAGCAAGGTTCAGAGATTCAAAACAGAACAAAACAAAACAAAAAACAAACAAAAAACCTGTCTACTTAACCACTCCTCAATCATTTCTAGCTTTAAAAATATCAATATTATAGTCTGCCGGTAAATTCCTATATAGCTCTCAATGTCACTTATTTGCATTTCTTTTCAAATTAGTTACAGCTGACTTGCCAAAACTTATTACTGGCAAAAATGAAAAAAGAATTCAGATATGGAAATTATGGTGTTAGACACTATATAGCAGAATACAAGAAAAAATGGGAACTTGAGAGCATGGATACACAAAAATTTTAAACCAGGGGTGCTGGAAGGGAAGGATGTACCTAAAACACTAATACTGGTTCACTCTATAGCCAGTTTCCTGTTTCACAGTCTGACAGCAATTCTAGAATAAAGAGGGACTGTGATATTGGTTAGCTAGAGAAATCACAAACCGGATCTTCTGTCTTAATAGTTTCAACGCTTTACTACACCACCCAGACACGTTGTACAAAGTGTACGAGCTCATCAAGAATATCTGCAGCAGCTGAATAATAGTGATGAGTTACTGTTGCTCAAAATGCTGGAGACTGCTGGAGATACACTGGCCTTGTAATGGAAAATCTATGCAGTACACATCCCATTTCAGAATTTACTGTTCCAGGCACTGGTTTATCTACCACTATCGACGATCTCATTTCTCATTACTACAGAGATACAGGTCAATAACCACCTATTTAGCCCCTGCAAGACTTCTTCGTCCTACCCAATTTAGGAACTGTTTCACACTGAAGAGAGAATGGCAATGTCAGTTCCTTAAAGAAAAAAAGATAGCAACGCTGGGAATATAATTGCAGCCCCCACTTCTTTGGCCTCCAGTTAGTCTCCACAGAACCCTGTAGCGTTTAACCCGCACCGACCATTCTAGAGACTTAATAGGTCCGAAACATCCGCCTTTAGCCAGCCAGGAAAGGGTTGCAAGTAACAAACCGAAAGGACGCCGTGAGGATGCGGCCAGCCTCTACCCAAAGGCCCCGCAAGAACCACATCCTCCCACACCGGCCCGCCGGGATCCCTGCCACGTGGAAAGCCCCGGGCGCCCGCATTTCTAGCCGGGGCCCGCTCCTTGGCCTCGCCGAGGCCCGCGCCCCCTTGGGCCGCAGTCCAGCACACCGCCGTGGGCCGCGAGGCCGACGCAGGGCCGAGAGGAAGGTGAGGCCTGCGCAGAGCACAATCCTTTGTACCTTCTCCTCAGTCTCCAAGAAGCTCACCTCAAAGATTCTGATCCCACAGTCACCACAGCTCCAAGAACAACGACAGAAACGCCTGTACTTCCGAGCGCCGGCGGGCCAGCCAAACGCGCTTAAAGATGGGGGCTTTCCCGGCACGCCTTGCGAAAAGGTGGGCGTGGCCGCGGACGCACTCGCCCGGCGCTGCTCTCCGCGCACGCGCCGTTACCGCAGCCTCCCACAACCCTCGGAGTCCCGCCCTCTCGCTCGAGAAATTGTTAAATCGCTCAGCCGAATGTTGGGGGATGACCGGAAGTGTTTTTGTGGAGATCTTTGTTTATAACGAATTTCTGGACAGTGTGTTCGAGCCTTCCCTTCTTTCTTATGTAGTGCTTGACTCTTTCTTTCTTTTCCTTTCCTTCCTTCCTTCCTTCCTTCCTTCCTTTCTTCTTTCCTTCGGGCTTCCGTGTGTCGTCTTTCCTATTCAGGAACTCGCTCTGTAAACCAGGCTACCCTCCAACCCGGGGTTGGTGGTTGTTCCGTTTGGAGTGCTGGGATTATTAAAGGGGTGCGCCACCACGCTTGGCGTTTTGCAATGATTTTTTAATGTATTTGACTTGCATCGTGTTGTGGTTCTGAAAAAAAAACATACAGTTGCTTGGTTTCCGACAGTATATCTGTCTGAAGCACAAACTGGCCAATAATTCGAAACTCTGCTTCAGTACAAAGAGCTGGAACTTCACAGACATTACCTGGCTTTTGTTGCTCCTCCTGCTGCTGTTAATATTTGCTTGTTTTGGTGTTGGAGTGTGACTCAATGAGTAACCCAGGCTGCTCACAAACTCTATGCTTCTGCTTCCAGCCACCCTAGTGCTGGGTTTACAAACAAGCCAACTTTTAAAAAGTCTCTTGCTAAGAAGAAAGTACGTTTAGAATAGTTCAATAGACTTCACACTTGGATCAGGAGTGCGTTCATCTGTTCTCTGCAAATTGTGTGGCCTTTGCAAATTATTGAATTACTCTATCCCTCGAGATAAAGTAGAGCCATCTAGTACAGAAATTTTATTTTGCTAGATCCCTTCCCTGGTAGGACACTTTATACGTAGCAATTTTAATTTTTAGAGATGCAATTTTCTTATGACATCATCTTTTCCCTTCAGTGTTCTTGGAATATAAAAAATATTTTCACAAAATAACGTCATAATCTCAGAGCATTTTGGCAGTTTCCAAGCAGATAAACTTTAAAATTTGAAGAAGAAAAAAAATGCATTTATAGGTTAAATATACATATCATCTTGGCCAAAGACAAAAGTATCTACTAGTATCATACTCGGGTAGTTTTAAGTTTAGATTAATTAAATTCAATAAAGATTTTTCAAGTTTCTACTTACTGTGAGACAAATCCTAAATTTCCTTTTTTTTTTTTTTAAAGATTTATTTATTATATATGAATACACTGTAGCTGTCTTCAGACACACCAGAAGAGGGCATCAGATTCCATTACAGATGGTTGTGAGCCACCATGTGGTTGCTGGGATTTGAACTCAGGACCTCTGGAAGTGCAGTCAGTGCTCTTAACCACTGAGCCATCTCTTCAGCCCAAATTTCCTTTTTTTTAAGATTTAAATTTATGTATGGGTGTTTTGCCTGCATGAATGAACAATGAAAAATACCATATGTGTTAATGCTATTGGAAGAGGTGCCCAGCCTACTATAATTCCATTTCCAGGGAATCTAAAACTCTCTCCTCATCTTTGCTGGATCCTGCACACTTATAGTGCGCACACATACACTCAGGACACACACATAAAATAAATAAATAAATAAGCACTTAAATTGGAAGGAATGGTCATAACAGCATGTTACTTGATTAAAAGAAAGAAATTAGAACCAACTATATGTCTACCACAAAATAATTAAAAAGTTAAATAATATATAGTGATAAAAACAAACTGACTTTCATTTATTATTGATGTTTGTGAAATTCACAAACACGGTGCTCAGAGGGAAAAGGTGTTTCACATAACCATTTTCTCCAAATACTGTAAATATATAGTGAAATAATGATATAAATAACAAATCTTATTTCCTTCTACCATTTTTATGAGCATGTAATAAAAGGTACCCTTAGCAAAACTCAAGGAAATGAATTATCACCTTGAAAATGTTTCACACACACACACACACACACACACACACACACACACCACCTGTCATTGTAACCAGGTAAGTTTCAGAGGTATGTCTACATCACTGTTCTACAATCAGAATTCCGCATATTCACTTGAAGGCTCTACAGTATTGAACAAGGAGAACTTCATAATTTTTTTAGAGAGTGATTGTGGGAGAATTAAAAGGAGCATGTCAGTCACCACGAATGAAAAATCCCATGTACATTTCTAAATGTCAGCGTGACTTTTACCCTTTACCCATATACAGAATGATTGCTCTAAGGCAGTGGTGTTATTCTATTCGGGACATCACAATGAGATGCTTTGTTAGGCATGCAGGTAGTGATGCCTAAATGATACAAAGGCATAGCATTTTCAAGTATTAGTAACATCATTTTCTTAACACCATTTTATAGAAGGTCAAAACAATTCAATGTTTAGTTGCATTCCAATTACACATCCTTTGGCAATTCTGATGAATAAAAATTACAATTTAAAAACTGTATTTTAAAATACAGCAAAATGATTTTAGCCTTCAATGGTATTTCAAGATCTCCACACTTAAATAGTACAATAGTACTACCCACTAGGCAAGAACTCAACCACAGAGGCTCACCTACAGCTTAATAAAACTGGCCACAGGCCAGGCAGTGGTGGCATACACCTTTAATCCCAGCACTTGGGAGGCAGAGGCAGGCGGATTTCTGAGTTTGAGGCCAGCCTGGTCTATAGAGTGAGTTCCAGGACAGCCAGGGCTACACAGAGAAGCTCTGTCTCGAAAAACCAAAAAACAAAACAAACAAACAAACAAACAAAACTGGCCACAGATGTGTAAAAATATAACAGGGGGATGGAGGAACTTATATGCGTACCATCTCAAAGGGAGCTATTTCCCAAGAAACCATTAAAAATAATTTTAAAACTCTCTAAGGGAATGCAGTTTTAGAGAAACAACTAGAATATCTTTATACTCAATCTTCACATTCAACGTAGAAAATATTGCAAAATCAGTTGCAGGAAAAATAAAGTCTATGCAACTTAAAATTCTGGAGAAAGTTATTATAAGATGTTTTCCAGCAAATAAATAATTAAGAATGAGTTGGTGACCTGGGGATGTAGATCAGTGGTAACCTGAGGTAACTTTTTTCCCTCTGAATTTTGTACCCTTTGTGGTGTTTACCTTGGTTGTAATTTACATATTTCCTTTGAGCAAATGTTCATCTTCTCACTTAATTTTATATTCATAATTTGGGATTGAAGAGGGCCCTCAAAATTGTAGTGTTTACCATGCCCCATAAATTCTAGCAGTATCTGTTCAGAATCTGCAGTAAAGTTACAGACACAAGTTAAGCTTGAACAATACCAAGCTAAAGGGATTAGGAAATGAGGCCCCCTTCCTAAAGTGGAAGAATAGCATTTACATATTTAAGAAAGTAAGAATAAGAAAGGCACCTAAATATGGAGGAAATGCTGATCCATACTTTAGCAGCCAAGAGGTAGAAGATTACTCTAGAAGTTAATTTGCTTTAAGAAATCCACAAAGGCGCAGTCATCGCCAGGATGGCTGTGTGGGGAGCAGCTTAGAGAGCAGACAGGCAAGGAAGGATGCCCTGGAGGCTGGCTTTGACAACAGTGCCTCCTACTGGAAAAATTTAATACTAGATTAATATGTTGGGAGCACAACTAAATCTACTTTGTGATTATGGCTCAAACACAAACATGAAACAATAGATGGATTTGAAGAGGCCATACCAAAATTTGAGAGACTCTCAGGGGTCCCTGAAGGAACATCAGATGAAGTATCATAGTAACAAACCATCTGTACACTTCAGAAAGAACTCTCAGAGAGAACGAGGAGCTAAAGATTATTTTCAATGTTCCTTTCTCTTAAAAACCCACGTGTGCTGTTCGTGTTTATGTGGGTACAAGCCTACGTGTGTGAATGTGAACGATAAAGGACAACCTTGGGGATCTTCATTCCTCCTTAGGCAGCACCTGCTTTGTCTTTTGTGACAAGGTCTCTTGCTGGGCTGAATTTGTCAATGGCTGGCTAGGGAGACCCAGGGGTTCGCCCATCTCTGCCTCCCCAATTCTGGGATTGCAAGAGCATGCCTCCACAATTGCAAGAATAATGCCTGAATATCTATAACCCAGCCTACACATTCACTAGCCAATGATTACATCTTGTTTTCTCTACATGTTCCCCATTCCCCAGAGCCCCCACTAGACTCTTAAGCCAAATGGCATGTATCTTGATATGGTCTATACAATTTTATGACCATACTTTTAAGAATAAGGATCCCTGTTTAAGTCACCATATTTGCAACTATCAAATTAAAAAAAAAAAAACTTCAAATTTCCCATAATTAGGCTGGTTGTGGTGGCACCTGTCATCCAGCACTGGGGAGGTTGAGGCAGGAAGACAGCAATTTTGAGCAGCCCGGGGTATGCAGCAAAAAAGATCTTGTTGCCGGGCGGTGGTGGCGCACACCTTTAATCCCAGCACTTGGGAGGCAGAGGCAGGCAGATTTCTGAGTTCGAAGCTGGCCTGGTGTGAGTTCCAGGACAGCCCAGGCTATACAGAGAAACCCTGTCTCGAAAAAAAACCAAAAAAACCCCAAAACAAACAAACAAACAAAAACAAAAACAAAAAAAAGAAAAAGAAAGATCTTGTCTCAAAATAATACTATTTGAACCTGAAGTCATTTCAAACATCCAGTCAGTTTTCAAATTCTCATTTTCTTGTAACTATCTTTTTGGTTGTTTTATTCAAAACCAGACCCGATGCTTTGACATGTTGCCTGCTGTTTGTCTTTGGAACTCAGAGTGGAGCCTTGCACTTAGCATGCTAGGCAGTCACTCTACCAGGAGCTTTATCTCTACCCCTTTAAAACTTTGTGTTTATTTACTTAGAAACAGGTTCTCACAGTGACCCCGTGCCTCTGGCTGGCCTGAAGCTCACTCATCTCCTCCTATCTGCCTCCTGAGTGTGCCAACACAATCAGATCTTTTTTTTTTTTAAACTTAAAAACAGGGTTCCCTAAGTTGCACAGGCTAGCCTGAAGCGGACGCTGTACCTCAAGCCAGCTTTGTACTTTTGATCCTCCTACTTCAGCCTCCAGAGGGCTGGGGTTACAGGTCTGTATCACCAGGCCTGATTAATGCATCTCCGGGTGGTTTTTTTTTCCTTTCTTTTTTTTCATAATATTTATAATATTTTTATTGATTATTGGGGAATTTCACATCATGCATCCTGAACATACTCACTTCCCAGTTCTCCTGGGTCTGCCTTCCACCCTTAAAACCTTCTCCCAAAGAAGAAGAAGAAGGAGAAGGAGAAGGAGAAGGAGAAGGAGAAGGAGAAGGAGAAGGAGAAGGAGAAGGAGAAGGAGAAGGAGAAGAGGAGGAGGAGGAGGAAGACAAAGAGGAAGAGGAAGAAGAGGAGGAGGAAGAAGAGGAGGACAAGGAGGAGGAGGAGGAGGAGGAGGAAAAGGAAAAGGAAAAGGAAGAGGAAATGGAGTTCAGTTTGTGTTGCTCACTGGAGCATGGTCAAACTCCTAGTAGTCAGCCTCTTAAAGAAAACTGAGTCATCCTTCCCCACTTATACCTCAGCTAGAAGCCATTATTGTGAAGAGCTACACTTCAGCATCCTTATCATAATTTTTATACATCCAATCACAGCTT